AATGCCTCTCCATCTCTGGATCAGTCCTTGTTCATCAGTTTATGTTGTTCCTTATATTCCACAAATGAGTGAGTTCATGTGGTATTTATCTGCTCTCCAGTTCCATCCATGGTGTGGCAAATGGTGAGTACTCAGTTATTTCTAACAGATGTAAGATAAAGCTTATTTAAGGTTGACCTAGCCTTTAGAAAACATAATTCTTTACCAACCTGATACTAACTCCACTGTCCAAAGTCCCTATTGATGGCATTTTAGTTTTGTTTTTTTAATCCTTTACCCAAGGATTATTTTTCCCATTGATTTAAAAAACATTTTTTTTATTGATTTCAGAGGAAGGGAGAGGGATAGAAACATCAGTCAGAGAATCATTAATTGGCTGCCTCCTGCACACCCCCTACTGAGGATTGAGCCCGAAATCTGGGCATGTGCCCTGGACCGGAATTGAACCTGGGGTCCTTCAGTCCACAGGCCAATACTCTCTCCACTGAGCCAAACCCACTGGGGCCCTATTGATGCGTTTTTAAGGGAACATATTTGTTTGCTTATTTTGCCCTTTCTTGGAAAAATAAGTCACCAGCAACACCAGGCTTGGGAGAGTCCGACGAGACCAACAGCATGGCAGCCTTACATTCTGGGCTACAAGACATAATCCTTGTTCTAGTTCTAGCTCTGCTAGTGAATGTTCCTGAGTCCTTGCCCTCTCAAAGCCTGCTTCACTTATGCAGTGAGGTGGCTGGTTTAGATAATTAAATAAAAAAATGTGACTAGATACTGCTGAGATGCACCATGTGAGTGAGATATTTCTAGAAATACAAAGATGAACAAGACACAGTCTTTGCCCCAAGAAACTTGACAATCTAATATGGAAGATAAGGCACATACAAATCCATTATTTATCATAGACCATATAAGCATTATAAAGGATATGTGTTCTACAGTCCTTTATGAGTTAATGTTCATTTGACTGATGGTGAATGGTAACCAGGTTAAGAGCTTCATGGAGGAAGAGGTAGCATTTAAGTTACATCTTTCAGGATAATAGGGAGAATTTGAAAAAGAGAAAAGTGAGCAAAGATTCAGAGAAAGAAAGCAGAGATGGCCAAAGGGCAAGGCCTGAAGATATAAGGACAGGAGCACAGGTGAAATATTTAGAAAATGACAATTAGTTCACTTTTGGTAGTGTATGGAATAAAACATAAAGCTGAGAAAATTGAGGTCAGACTGTTTTTGAATTGGTAAATGGCAAAACCAGTCCTATGCTTAAGGATTGACTTGGCAGTGGTGGGTAGAAGTAAATGCTAAAGGGAAGAGACTAGAGGCAGGCCAGTTATGAGGTTACTGCAACAGACCAGGTTGGTGGCAATGAGGGCCTGAGCCAGGATAGCCACAGTGGGAACAGAGAGCCCATTACTCATAATTTTAAGCAAGCACTTAAGCTGCCACTGACCCAATCAAGTAACAGGCCATGGCAGGTGAAAATTATTATCAAATTGTTACCTAATTTGAATAAAGCTGTCCCTGACACAGCTTGAACAACGGAGGCAAGACCCATGTTGAGTTCAGAATCGTCACCACCCTTGAGGCCTTATACTCTCACCAAGGCACTCAGCCAACTGGAAAAGAAATATACACAGGAGACTCAAGAAACATCTTATTAATACAGTATTTATTTGTCTTCCTTCTGTCAAACCCTGAGCCAACCACTTTCCCCAAGCTGCCTAGGGAGGTATAGGAAAAGGAACATACAGGGCAGACAAGACACGGGAAAAAGCTCCTTCACATGGCGAAGAGGATGAGAAAGGCCACCATCAGGCAAAAGAGCCCCATGGCCTCTGAGAGGGCAAAGCCCAGAATGGCGTAGGAGAAGAGCTGCTGCTTCAGAGAAGGGTTCCTGGGAGAAGGGGAAGAAAAAAGACTGAATTTCTAGTCCACATAAAAGTATAAACATCAAAGGTGGGCTCAGGGAGAATTCATCTCCTCAAGCTCATCTTATGAAACAATTCTCTCAGGGTGATACTATCATTCCCAAATTCTTGACCTGACACATCAAGGGCTCTACAGAGACTAAGTGAGGGAAGTGGACAATCCAAAATTGTGTAACATGGCCCAGGCATGAACATTACCACCTCTACTGGGTCACCCATATCATTGTCATAACTTAAGACCTCTGGGCCTGGACACTGACCTATCCAGGGCCCAACCAGGATGAAAGAGGTATCTGGTGTGGCAGGGCCTATCACAGTATTTTCAAACTTTAAACAGCAGAACCCCCAAATACGAAACATATAAAAGCCAAAACGCAAAGGTAAAAAAAGTGGGGGATTGTAAAAGTTTGTTTGACTGGTCTCCCCTTCATTCTTCTAAGTCAGTCTCTGGGGTATACCCTCAGAACTTTAGGGCTTTAAGAACACAATTAGAAAAACAGTGTTCTAGAGGACAAGGGAGTCTGAGGAAAACATACCTTCTCTCATTTCAAAATAGTCAAAAGATTTTGGACTTTAAGAAGTTACAGATAGCCTATGGCCGTGGTTGGCAAACTGCGGCTCACGAGCCACATGCGGCTCTTTGGCCCCTTGAGTGTGGCTCTTCCGCAGCCCTAGGAGTACCTTAATTAAGTTAATAACAGTGTACCTGCCTATATAGTTTAAATTTTAAAAATTTGGCTCTCAAAAGAAATTTTAATTGTTGTACTGTTGATATTTGGCTCTGTTGACTAATGAGTTTGCCGACCACTGGCCTATGGGGTTTAGATGATATGAATCAAAATGGTATAAGGAACTCCCAACTCTGAAAGCCAATATATAATTTCTATTTCCCTTACTCTGTCATCTCTGGAAGGCCTTCATGGTAAAGTAAAGCAACACCAGCTTTTAACAGAATTCTGGACACAGAAGCAGTTAGGTTTCTTGTTTCACACAAACCCTAAAACAAACTCATTTTTCCGAAGACATTAAGAGAACTTGAGGGCCTCTAGAGAATTAATTTAGTTTTAACAGCAAGGTGCCCAGAATGGTGGGGACCAAATAGTCCAAGTGTCAGGGAGCAGTGGGCCTGGCTGTGGAGGCAGTTTTCCCAGGAGTGACAGAGGGGAATTCTCAGAGATGGGGGAAAATAGCAGTGAAACACCCTACTGACTCTAGAGGGCTCTAGACAAGGGGTTGCAAACTTTTTCTGTAAAGGGCCGGACAGTAAATATTTTAGTTTTTGCAGGTCACATATGGTCTCTGTTGCCTTTTTTTCATGACCCTTTAAAAAAATGTAAAACCATTCCTAGCTCAGCTATAAAAACCGAGTTATGGCCCACCTACCTTAGTTTGCCTACTCCTGCTCTAAACCAAAGCTGTTCAATAATGTATATTTGCACTGTCTAGTACAGTAGCTGCTAGTCACATGTGGCTACTGACCACTTGAAATATGGCCAGTGTGACTGAAAAACAAAAAACTTAAACTTGGTGTACTTTTAATTAACTGAAATTTAAATTCAAATAGCCACATATAGGTTAGTGGCTACTATATAGGATAATGTAGATCTAGATCCCCAAATATTTCTGTCCGAACCTTTGGGAAATACATCAGAGACTAATGGAGGGCCCATCTTACCTGGCATAACCAATGATGAGGCTCCCAAACACAGTCCCAATTCCAGCCCCAGAGCCTGCCACCCCTACTGTGGCGGCCCCAGCCCCAATGAACTTGGCTGCTGTGTCGATGTCCCTTGAAATGGCGCTGGTTTGGAAGGTACGGCTAGAAATAAGCGAGGTCAGGGGACGTGGGGCTGCCAAGCTGCTGAGGCTCTGTGAAGAGGAGAAATATAGGAGATAAAATTTTTAGGAATCCCCTTTTGCTTTGCAAACTTTTGTAACACTTAAAGAAAGCTTTATGCTGTCAAATCCCATACCCCCCCGCCAAAAAACCAGAAAATCTTTTTCCTTTATAGAAAACTTCCTAAAATGCTGCCAAGAAAAACTTTTTAATGCAAGAGGTGAACTTCAAATACCTTTAAAATTCAAGTATGCTTTCTAAGATCAAAATCCTAGCCCGTGCTTGGTGCCTCGAAGAGATCATCTTTCTGGGACTAAATGTTCCAAATGAAGTCTGTAAATTAGGCCCCAGGTAATGGCAGTCATCAGTAGCACACATAAGCATGTGCTACCAATGCCAGAGCTGGAACACTAGAGCATATATGCTATCAGCTGCTCTGCATCTCCACCTAAAATCAACGGCCTCAATTCTTCACTAATTTTCCTGTGATGACTCCCCCTACTGGTTCTTCTAGGTAAACCCTCGCCACTCCTTACTCCCAAACCACAGGCCCAATTCCACCTATAAGGTACCTCATCTGTCAGGGTCTCTGGTCGTTTCAGCACCACTGCAGACATTGACCGGCTCAGCTGAGAGGTGCTCCGGACCTAGCAGGGGACACAAGGGCAAGAAAGTCAAGGAAGGCTCTGGAGAGGAGTTTTAGAACCATCCTAAGTTGTTATTCAATGCCCCTTTCATTCTTTTAAACTTAAATCAGACTGTTGGGTCATTCTTTTACTTTTAGGTAATTCTAGATTGAAGAACCTCACCATTTCTCTCTTGCTTCCCAGGCTTCACCTTTTTTTTTTTTTTAAATATATTTTATTGACTTTTTACAGAGAGGAAGGGAGAGAGATAGAGTTAGAAACATCGATAAGAGAGAAACATCGATCAGCTGCCTCCTGCACATCTCCCACTGGGGATGTGCCTGCAACCCAGGTACATGCCCTTGACCGGAATCGAACCTGGGACCTTTCAGTCCGCAGGCCGATGCTCTATCCACCGAGCCAAACCGGTTTTGGCTCCACGCTTCACCTTTGCTTTAAGAAAAGGAAGTCTACTTTTTGAGGGGCTACCCTCACTGTATCCTTTCACGGGCCTTGAGAATGGGAAAAGATATAAGCCTTAGAAGGATTTGCTTCACTCAGTAAGAGATATATGTTGGTACTGGCTAGCCCATAAGGAACCCAACGACCAGAGTATCTTTCCTTAAACACATCCTTCTAAAGCTAGGCACAAAGCCCCATGCTGTAAATTCACCACCTCCTGTTAGCCTTTCTAACCTCAAGCCAGTATCTCCAAGGCAGACAACATGGTGGTTAACAGCCAGGGCTTAAATCAGATATACTTAGATTCATCTTAGCTCTGTAATCAGTGGTGTGACCTTAGGATAGTCACTTATATCTAAGCCTGTTTTCTCCTCTTCAAATGGGAATAATCTATTTCAGGGTTGACTTGAAAAGTAAATAAGGTTGTGTAGCCCTAGCTGGTTTGGCTCAGTGGATAGAGTGCTGGCTTGCGGACTCAAGGGTCCTGGGTTCAATTCCGGTCAAGGGCAGGCTCCTCCCTGTCCGGGCCCTGGTCAGGTCACATGCAGGAGGCAACCAGTCGATGTGTTTTTCTCACATTGGTGTTTTGTTTCTCTGTCTTTCCCTCTCTCTTCCAGTCTCCCTAAAAATCAATGGAAAAATATCCTTGGGTGAGAATTAACAACAACAACAAAAGATTGTGTATACAAACTGGTAAACTCAGAGCCAGGCATAGTAAGTGCTCAATAAATAGTACCCACCAATAGCACCACTTCCACCATTTAATAATTTATAATTTCTTCCATGCTAGTGCTTTTGAGTAAAAGATTTTTCAAATGTGTATTTACATGTATGTTAGCTTCCCACCCAAATTTAAGCTCCCAGAGGGTCTCTTAGCTATGGCTCTTCGACAGGACAAAATCCTGTACACAGTGCATACTCAATGCAAGTTAGGCAATCTACTTCATGATTACTATTTCTGGCTGGGTTCCAGTTTACAGAAAGTTTTAGGGTAGAAATAACCTGATCTCAGTCTAGATTCTCATTTATACTCTTCTAAGATTGGTGGACGAGAAGAATTAACTGGCCTCCAAAGGATATGGGGCAGGTAAACATTCTCTCTCCTGTCAGGCTAGCATAGCAAAGGATCTTCCCCCAGCCCAACTGTAAAGAACAAGGTGTTGCAAGGAAGAGACAAGATGCCCCTCTTGAAAAGTCTCCTAGAAAAGGCAGGTACTCACCAAGGAGGGGGTGGACACAAACTTGGTGCAGGCATACATTTTCAGGGGATGAGGGGAGCTGGAATTACAGAAGCACATTGTGAACACTGTCCTTGCTCACCAAATGACATTTTTATTAGCAGAAAAGGGGCTCTGGAAAATTTAAATGGCCCCAAGAGCAGAGTGACTGACCTCATCTTAAAAGAGATGGAATCAGAACTCTGAAGCCAAGATTTCCTCATAATCAAGTGACTTCCCTGGTCTGAGCAAGTAGCCACTAGTCCGTTTTAGGACCCATTATTTACTTCCATAGCCTCGTGAGTTGGGGTTGTCAAGAGGAAATTTGCTCAGTGTCCTTTGCCTAAGCTTTCCTCAGTTTCTATTCAAAAGGAACCCTTTTCAAGCCCTCATTATCTGGGCCTAAAAAAGTTGCCCTGTAAAGACTCTGGGGAGTTATATGTAGAAGGCCAAAAGACTGGAAGGGTCGCCAGTGATCTTCCAATTACTTTAAGCATTTGATTCTCCATTTCCTCTATCAATTAACAGGGTGAGGAAGATCGATGAGGAACTTTGCCATTACTCTAATTAGCAACCACTGTTAAAGTATTCATTTTCACCATCACTCGAAGGGGCATTCAATTTTGTATACACAAGATCTAAAACAATGCTGACACTCTGTAGGTGCCTATGTTGGTAGAATTTATCTGAGACGTACCAGCGAGTTAAACATCTAAAGGCAGGGTTTTTCCAAGTGAAGTGAGAGGCCCACCTGAAATAATTATCTAGGTGTAAGGATGGTGTATGTATTAAAAATGCATATTCTTGGGTCTCACCCCAGTGGTTCTCAACCTTCTGGCCCTTTAAATACCGTTCCTCATGTTGTGACCCAACCATAAAATTATTTTCGTTGCTACTTCATAACTGTAATGTTGCTACTGTTATGAATCGTAATGTAAATATCTGATATGCAGGATGGTCTTAGGCGACCCCTGGGGAAGGGTCGTTCAACCGCCAAAGGGGAAGCAACCCACAGGTTGAGAACCGCTGTCTTAGACCTTCCTGGCCAAGATCTCCGGGGTTAAGGCCAGCACCTGTATTTCAAACAAGCTTATGACAGTGGTAAAGTCAGGACTTTAACTCTTCTTACTAATAAATGAAAGCTTTATAGCATGCTAAAGGTTAAAATACTCAGATTTCTTAGACCTGCTAAGTGACACTTCCTTAAAGGAGTTGGACTCCTATTTTCCTAGGTTACTCTTCTGAATCCAGAATCTTTTAAGTTACTTTTAGATTAATGGATGTCTTCAACTCTCATCCTGCCAAGAACTCTGATTTCTGCCCATCTTTAACTCTAACCTACCTAACTTTGTGCTGAACTATTCAGGTTTCCTTGGGTCAAATCCAAAATCTCTTTAAAGCTTAAAAAAAGGGAGGACTGGTTTTTCCCAAGGATTAAACCTCAATATCATCATTTGTAAAATGCAGTTCTTGGGGAGATTAAATGAAATTTCTGTGAGCTTAATGTGGTGCTGGCCCACAGTAAGACCACGCCCAAGAGTGGCAATTAAGGAGCGGCGAGAAGTGCTGATTGCTCCACTGGCCACCCAACCTGGCCAGTCTGCAACTGCTAGCCTGCCACAGCGCAGGCAACGGTACCACCCGGAACCCAGGACCCAAGTCACCACAGGCCTCCTCCTCCTGTAGGTCAGTCACTGGGTTACTGGGCTGCTGACCTAACCATTCCCCCCCCTTAAACTTCCTTTTTCCTCTTGAGGGCAGAGTCAGGGACTCTCACTAAGCCCTTGACGGAAGCGGGCAGGTGCACGTTATCCCATGCAGGTCCCAGCCTACGCTTGTGCGCCTGCTGCCCCTCACAGAAAACTTCACTATCAGTCCACTGTGTTTCCCCCCACTTCACTGCGGTGAAAGGAAGAGACCGGCATGGAACACAACCCAAGGTTCCAAAGAAACCGGCCTCTTTCCTGCAACAGCGCTCCCAGATCACAGCCTGAAGGGAATGTTTTGACTGTTTTGTTCACTTCTACCACGTTCACGGCTTACTTTTTTACACGGAGGGGTGCTGACTAGAGGGGTTGGTGGCTTTGGATGATCCACTATCTCCATTGCTCGGCACCTGAGGTCCTGAAGTCTGGAGGTTTCAGGGTAAGGAAGGCACGGGGTAAGGATGAGAGGATAAAGCAGAGATTGGAGGGGAGACTCTAGGGGTTGTGATAACTCTGAGAGGGCAAGAGGGTAAGAAAAGAGCGTTTATAAGGGCTGAGTCAGGACAGGTGAAGTGAGCACTCTGGCATGACTTTCGCCAGCTCCCACGCGCCCTCCCACAGCGAGTCATCCAAGATGGCGCCAGGCCCGCGCGGTTGGAGGTCAACGGCACACGGAAGGGGCAGATCTTAAGACGCGGGGATACCGGGAGCGAGGAAGGGCGTGAGGCCCCGGGTGGGAACATGCAAGGTACCGGCCTCAAAGCAACCGCGCGAGGGAGGGTATCCCGCGCGCGTGCGCGACGCAAGCGGGCACGAGGGCCCAAGCCTTACCTGCTCCCAGTGCAGAGAAGACAGAGAGGGGCGGGGGCGCTGGAATAGCGAAAGGAAGGCTTCGCGCATGCGCGGCCTGGACCAACGAGTCGCTCTGCCAAGGATAGAGTGGCTGCAATGTGGAGGCGGCTCAGGCGCCACAGCGCCGCCTGCCACCTCGGTGGTGGCATCCGGCCAGTCGCTCCACCTGGCGTTGTAGAGGAGAAACTGCAGGCGGAGCGGCTGCAGAAATAAGGATAACTCCGCAGTGTAAGCCGACCCGTTATGTGGCCTGCGGTATGGTCTGCACAGCATTTGGGATCTCGGACTCGCGTTTCCTTACCGAGCATGCGTAGTCACATTGAAAATAAAAATCTACCTAGCAATTCAATGTTAAATAGCATACAATCGGGATTGGGGTTCAGTGCCCAAAATGTAGCGGGATTCTTGCGTTGTTGCCCCTGGAACTCTGAGAGCTTTATGGATGGGAAACCTGTTCAATGGGGGAATCGTTAGGAACACGCCCCAGCTACCACGGTGGCTTTGCCTTTATTTTTTCTCTCTCTCTCTTTCTTAATTCCAGTGATCAGCCACGAGGAAACTAGCATCAGCGAACCAGAAGATAGGGGCTAAAGATGATGGGACTCAAGCACCTGACTCTCAGTCTTGAAACTGACCTGCGGTGAGGTTGTGAGGTCACGCCAGGCATGTCCATTCTCTGCCCAGGCTTCTGAGACCAGCAGACCCCCAAAGAGGTGCTCTCATGAAGACCCCCTAGCTTTCTTCTCGGCCTGTCCTTCCCTGGGCCTCGTAAGGAAGTGGGGGCGCCACGGCCCTCATTGCTTCCTCCGGCCCCTGTCTCCGCGGGGTCTGACAGCCCCTGCAAGAGGCGGTGCAAGGCCTACCTAGTCCCATCCTGGCCAGACCCCGGCGTCCAGGCGTCGGGCTTGCACGCAGCAGGAGAAAGACAGGGAAAGCTCACCAAACCCCCATAAAAAAATAAAAAATAAAAAGAATGCTGCGGCTGTAAATAAAGCCAAATCCACCGGCCTCGGAGGGGCCGTTTGTCCTCCCCTCCTTGGCCTCGTCCTTCCCGCCGCCCCCTCCCGGTTCCCGGGCCCCGCGGCGCCCCGGCCCCGAGCTCCTCCATTTAATCGGATTTGGGAGAAGGGGAGGATAAATCACGGCAGCAGCTTTACGGTCCCGGAGGAGAGGCGAGCCGCAGCCAGGCACACCCCGGCCGGCGATAAAAACCGCCGCTGAAAGCCCACGGAGCAATTTCCCGGGACCCCGAGCGACGCCATTACAGGAATGTAATTTTGCCCGGATGAGGCCCCGAGTTTAATTATCCTCGCGGAGGAATTTCAATGTGGCCAATCCATCTTGCAGGCGGGCGGCAGAGGGATTTATATGGGCCCGTTATTTCACACCGATCCTCCATCTGCATTTTTATGG